TATTACTACATTTATATGATGGCGTTAAAACGGTTTAAGACTAAACCGTTTTGAAAGTTAAAACGCTCGTGGTATGTAGTTTAAAAATGTAAAACCGTTTTATTTGCTGAAACGTTTATAATATGTACATCTGATAAACTGGTTTAAGCAAATAAAACAGTTTTAAATTCTCATAGCGTGAGCTTTTTAACTTTCAAAACGCTTTAGTCTTAAACCGTTTTAACGCCATCATATAAACGTAGTATATAAGTACTTTAAATTTCACTAAATATTTATATGATCTTTATCCATACATCATACAATTTTCAAAATATTTTGACTCTTAATGAGCTATTTGTAACCATCAGCAATTTGCTTCCAATTATCGTTATTTACTATATATAATATATTAATGGTTTATTTAACTTGCCGGTAAATAAAAAATTTATTAGTTGAAATAATTATATGATACCGTTATATTATTATTTATATTATCTAATAAAAATATAGGTCCTTAATACAAAAACCATGTGTTATTATAAAAAAAAGTAAAATACTCGTTTGCCACAACTTATTAGAGTTAAATATTTTAGTTTTAATAATAACTCTAATGTTAATAACATTTAATTAATAATATAATAATTGAACAAAACCTTTGTCACAAAATATTTATAAAAAAAAAAAAAAGATTACAATAAACAAATAAAAAATAACATAACATATTACCTGAGTTAGGGCAATATGTTATACAGTTTTTATATAACCTAATTAGTAATTAATTAGTTATAAAAGATGAACATTTCTTACATTTTTTACTACAAAATAATTTGTATATTTTAAATTTGATAAATGTTGTCAACATTTGAATTTTAGATGATTATAAAAATAAAACGTACCTATGTATTTTTAATATTTTTCAACTGCTATTGGAACAATGTATTAGGAGCATTATATTAAATTTTCAAGCTTTTTTATCGACGTCAATTTTAAAAAAAAACTAATAATATTCGAAAATGTCGTTAGAAATTTAGGATACATATTACAATAATTATTAATAGTGGTAAGTTGTCATATTGTTGGAGAATCCATGAATCCATCACTATTAGAATAAAGATTATTACATTCTCATTCTGCTGTTCAAACCAAATTATGGTATTTCCTATTTAGCTATAGAGAGCAGTTAAACCTACCTGCAGTTTACTAGTAGAATTACTAGTTTTTCACTAGTAAAATCCAAATGTACAAATGCAAATGTCTCCATGAATTAACCAAACCCCCGTCCTACGTCTCAAATTAAAAATAACAATTAGGTGGATACTCTTAATCAATTTTATTCTAACAATTAGGTGTAGGTCAACAGTTCAAAACGTTACCCAAAAATTTGTAAAAAACTTTAAACTTTTATTAACTTTTTTTTTAAAAATAAGATTATGGCTTTATTAGAATATTTTATGTATATTATTATATTATGTATATTATATACATGTGTAGTGTGTACAATAAGCAATAGTTGTGGGAGGAAAAGACAAACTAAGAATAAGGAATGACATGGTAGGAAGTCTTGTATGGGGGTACCTTTTTTCATTATTATTTCAAATTTTGATCCAGACACTTAATTCATTTTGATAATAGATAATTCAGTTAGGTGGCTTTTTGTCGATATTATTTTGCTTGATACCTAACATTATTGTACACAAATATACGGTTGGTAGTGTGGTATGATGTTTATTTGTCGGGTGGCTTTTCGAGGTGTCACTTGCGTGGTATTAACTTTTAAGTTTGATAACACTATAGATAACGGCTATACTATCGTTTATCAAATGATAACTGAGAAGTATCAAAGGTGACACTGCATTAATACCACGGACTAAGATATACAGGACTGGACACGAGATGAATATTGTGGTTACGAAATGTATTACAACATGCGGAGTTCGGGGGGATATTTTCCTTTTAGCATTACTAGCGCCGTCTTAGTGGATACTTATGGAACTAGAAATTTGTATGATGTGTTCTAGTTCCATAAGTATCCACTAAGACAGCGCTAGTAATGCTAAAAGGAAAATATCCCCCCGAACTCCGCCTGTTGTACTACATTTCGTGGTCAACCCCTCACACCCTCCGTCCTCCGACCTTGTAGTGTCCAGTCCTGTATATCTTAGTCCGTGATAATACATTCAATAGTTCTAAAAATTAAAATCCGTTAAAATTACACCAAAAATTGCTGAAATTACACTAAGTATTCCATTGTCCACTATACGCCGATTTATTCCACAGAGTCCAACTCAAATCCACCAGATTCAGTGGGAATTCCGCCGACCTGGCAACACTGTTGAAAGTGTTATGATATCAGTGGTATCCACGGTTAATATCTTTTAACTGAGGTTGGTATCATTACTTTTTATGTATTATCCCAGAATATTTTTATTGTTTATTCCACGAGATAAATCAAAATGGCAGTCTACTAGAGTTTGTGTGGGGTACAGTTCTTTTCCCAATGCGTTTTCCAAAGTATACAGTTCACTGAGAAATACACCCGTGAGCGCAATTAGTTATTTGAAGTCCAAGACCCATCCAAGGTGGTTTTACATAATAAGTCGAGCAGTGTTTTCTATTTTAATTGTCTGAGCGAGCACAGCGAGTAAGTAACAAAGCCGGGTGTATATGAACATTTTCAATTAGGTATAACTTTACAATTAAGTCTGACCGCCATATTCTGACTTCGTCGTCGTCGTCGAGGTACGTTTTGCTATAAACATTTTATCGATTTTAATAGTTTTATAAATATAATAGAATAAAATACATAAAAACCTTAATATTTTATATTTTTATAAACTAAATTGAATCGTAGCACGGGTCAGTGAAAAATCGTACGCCGGCCGGTATAGGTAATAAAAAAATAAATCAGATTGTTTATTATTATTACTTTCTTGAACGAGCTTTCAAATATTTGTCACCCTTTGACACGGTACGCAGCGGCAACCAGTACAAAGTACAGGTACCGCAGCGACCGGTCTGCGCTTTTGACAACAACCAACACGGGCTACGAGCGCGACATCGCCAACTCTCCAACCACGCCACAGAGGCAAGGCGGGACGGGAAGGCGAGTCGCGCAAGATGAGTACCGGCCGCCGGCGGATCGCTCTCTCGACCACCAACGGTTAACCAGGACACACGTGAAGTAACCCGCGCACCGAAAACTCTGGTCCGACCACGCCGTGCGGTTTCTGTAACTTTCGATATCGTTGTATTATTTTTTTTGTTTCCGTTATATTGTTTCAATAAACGTCACCAGCGGACACTAGTATCCACTTCAGACGTGTTGCATTTTAATATCACGATTGTGAATATAATATATCCACCCTCAACTCCATACCACACCGAGACGGACATACCGCGGACACCCGATCGCCACCGCCGTAGCCGCGTCACCTTTACAGGAATTTGATTTAGTTAGTAGTTAGGTTATTTGGTTACCACAATTTAAATTTATTATGAATCTAAAAAGGTAAAATAATAATCTATACATATTATAGAGGGTATTTATGTCAACAACTATCTAACTCAAACTTATAAGGATCTATTTTTTAAAACAATATTACTTGCTAAAGAAAAGAATTATAAATTTGTATGGTTTAAAAATAACAAACTTTTTGTTAGGAAAAATAATGATACTAATGCTATACTCATAGAAGACGAAAATAGTTTATCAAAGTTAGTTTAATTGTTAGACATTGTTATCTATTATGTAATAATTAATATGTTTTATTATGGATATTTTTCAAACGTCAACCTCAAATTTTTCTAATTATACAACTAATTATTTTCGTTCTTTCTCAGACTTTATATACAGTCATAAAATTATTAATGGTTCGTTTCTAAATATTCTGTGTTGCAACATAAGAAGTGTAAATTCTAATTTAGATGAACTATTACTTTTCTTGGAAAATGAAAAAAAAAAAATGCTCTTAGATAGAATAATTCTAACCGAAACTTGGCATGACGTTAACTGTAGTAATATATCTATCCGTGATTATAATACTTATTTTACTAAAACTAAGAGAAATCAAAACGACGGAATAATTGTTTTGTATAAAAAAAATGTATGTATACATTTTTTTGAATTTAATTGTTATGAAGTTAATATTGTTAAAAATTAATATCGCTAATAATCCTATAACTTTATTTTGTATACATAGATCACCATCGAATGATATCCAGAAATTTTTGACTATGTTAAATAAAATCTTATCAGATGAAAATGCATGCAATGACATCATGGCAATATTAGGGGATATAAATATTAATATAGTTGGCATAAACTCGATTGATAATGACTATTTAAATATGTTGTCTTTGTACGATTTTAAATCTTTTATTAATGTGTATACCAGAACACCAAATCATTTCCGACATTCTTGTATGGATCATATTTTTGTTAAAATGAATAGTATGATAAATCATTTTGAAGCTGGGGTTATACAGGCTAATATAACTGATCATTTCTTAACAGTATTGGCAATACCAATAAATGTAAAATCTAAACACAATAATAATAATACAATTGAAATAATTAATCATGAAAAGGTGAATACTAAATTGAAATGTGAACAATGGGAAGATGTGTATAGTAATAGTGACATAAATAGAAGTTGTAATATATTTTATGATAAAATGAATAAATTATGCTATCAGCTTGGCAACCACAACCAAGAATGTAGAATGTATTTGTTCTTTTTTAATGTTATATTTATTTTTATATGATATTATGTAATTAATTTTACCGCTTTGTAACTCTTTCTCCAACATAAGCGTAAGCTTAAAGGAGATAGATAAATCAATCTAATGTTTTTATTTAATATGTATCTTGTTAAATAAATTTTTTTTTCTGGAAAAAAAAAAAATTATATTTTAAAATGATAAAATATGTTTATTTTTATTATGTGATAATTATAACTATTTACAACTATACATTTACTTAATAAAAATTATTATTTTAATTATTTTTTTTAGTGACTACGATGGCCAATTTCAATACCAATGATTATAAAAATATGCTGGCCAGTTTCGAGACTAACGAATTCAAATCATTATTGGGAGCTTTTGGTCGAAATATATCAGGACGAAAACCTCAATTATACCATCGGGCACTTGAACTATTAAGAACTAGATCACCTGGCTTTAACCACGCAGAATATGTATCAAAAATACATGAAATATATACTTCCATGCCAATAGAAACTTCTAATAATAATGCTACTACGAATCACAGCTTATTTCAAACCCAACAGAGACAAATTATGGAGCAGATACAGGGCCAACAACAAAGAATGTACCAAACTATCCCACAATATCCTCAACAGCCAATGCATATGACCCGAGGTGGATTACCTCAGGTTATGCCCCAAATTCAAAGAGACATTTATAGTAATTCCGTTAGAGCAAATACTATAGCTAACAATAACATTCAATATATATCGGGCAGTTATCAGCCTTCTAGACCTCGTTCTATTAGGCCATCTCATTTGTCCTCAAGTCAACAAATGAATGTGGTGTCCCAAGGTCCATTGGGAAATGATATGCACGGAACGACAGTTGGAAATAATTCTCGTACTCCATCTCATGAAACTCTTGCCCATATCAAGTTCAAAAAGTTACCATTTTATGAGGTGATTGACGTAGTTCTTGAGCCAACTTTTCTAGCTGGCACGGACGGATGTAGTATACAAAACTTTCCTAATGGTAGCTATATATTTTATTATTTATATTAAGTTAATTATATTTATAATAAGGATCTTATTTATTTAGGTATGAAAGAATCGCAATTCAAACTTTTTCTGTCACTCGAGGCCGTCAATATAGTTGCCATGAGTCGTGATGTTTCTTTGGGGAAAAATGATTATCCCTACCAGTTCCAGATTCGAATTAGTCAGTTAGTGGAACCTATGAGTAATGAGGTAACAGATTTTATGCCTCTTGGACTACACATTCGGCTTGGTGGGAAAACATGTTCATTACCACCTATGGCTTCTAATAATCGTCCAGGAGCTGAATCCAGACGATGTCCAAGACCCATAAATTGCACTCCACAAGTCAAACTTTCTCCAATCACTCCCAACTTTTTAAATATAAATTGGACTGATGCAAAAAATTACATTGTGTCTATGTATCTTGTAAAAAAATTAAGTTCAGAAACATTGATACAAAGACTTCAAGATAAAGGAGGTAGGAGTTCAGAAGAAACCAAAAATTATATAATTGAAAAGTTAGCAGATGTCGATCCAGATTTGGCCACTACATCTTATCGATTTTCCTTGGTGTGTCCATTGGGTAAAATTAGAATGAAGATACCTGCAAAATCTATCCATTGTGATCATTTACAATGTTTTGATGCTAGTTCATTTATTTTAATGAATGAGAAAAAGCCAACATGGATGTGCCCAACATGTAATAGACCTTGTTTGTACGATGACTTACAAATAGAAAATTATTTTTTGGAAGTTGTTTCAAGTCCAAAACTCGAAGAATGCAGTAAGGAAATTGAATTTTTAGCTGATGGCACATGGATAGTTTATGAAGAAAATAAAGAGACAAAAACCACAAATAGTACTTTTGATTCAAAATTAAAACCTATTGATACTGTGAATTTAGATAGCGACGAAGAAAATTCTCTTGATATAAAAGTAGAACTTAACCCTGAAACTGTAAATGAAAACTTAAAGTTTGTGGATTTGACTTTAAGTGACAATGAAGAAGAACCACCAAAGGAAAAATATAAACAGGAAAATGAGGCACAGGCCGCTGATGCTATACAACCAGTTGCCGTAGTTGATTTAAAACCACAAGCTCAAGTACAGCCACAACAAGCTGTTACCAGTTCTGAGCAAGGAGTAGTAAATGAAATGGACACTCCATCCCCTCCTTCAAGTCCTATCACTACAACTTAAGCCTCCTAATTTTTATTTTTATTGTAATTAAAACAATTTTAAGATACATTAATTTTTAACATTTTTATGATGTATAAGCTCTACCCGTATAGCATAGGGCAGGCATGTCAAACACTCGGCTCATTTTTTTGTGGCCCTCGGCTACCAATACTAATGGAAAAAATATTTATATATCCATTTTTTTTATATTATTTTAACTCAATTTTAATTTAATATAGTGAAAACACACGCTCTTTAAAATACTACTTATGTCAGTGGTCTCAAACTCAAATTACCTACGGTTCTATATATTAATTATACGTCAAAGGTATGAGACCAACACATTTTTTTACTTATCTTAATACTAAATACAAAATCAAAATAAATGAAGACAACATTCATTTATTTTATTTGTTATAGTAATTTTTTTTAATTAATCTTATTATAATATTTATTTCTTTAAAAAAAATGTGTTTTGTTATACCTAGTATTAAACACAGTTAGAGTCAGATAATATTATTATGATATAACTGTATATAATACTAGGTATTACAAATCACATATTTATTTTTATTTAAAAAAGAAATTAAATTTTTGAAGATATAAATGTTTATTGTGGGCCATATTTTTGAGACTATTGACCTACGTAATGTTTGGCCATACGGGATATAATATATTCTATCTTAAGATATGCCCGAATGACATTTTCAGGGTTGACAAAAAAAAATATGAATCCTATTAGTAAAATTGAAATAAAACAAACCCTGATATTTTTATTGAATTTTTAATATTTCTTATAAAACAGCAATTGGCCCTGATGTAATTTCCCCAATATTCTTAATAAATTGAATTTTAATTTCATTCTTAACGTTTTAAGAATGATTTAATAAAATATTATTTTTTATTTTATACTCTCCTTTAAGCCTATTTATTATTGTTATCTTCACCTCTATTATTATACATTTTATTATTTGTATTAATCCATTTATCGCTACTATATAGTATTATTATATTATTTTAAAATTGTATGTATTACTTGTAATTGGAAATTATTTCTGTTAAATAAATAATAATAATAATAATAATTCTGCATATTACTATAATGTACTGATAGTTAATTTATTAGCTACCAGTTTTATTATACTAAATCATTATATTTTTATATTGAATAACGCTGTTACAAATATCACATCCGCCCATTCTACATGATTATGAAATCGTGCTAATCTGTTGTGGTATTATTTTTGAATCTTGTTTCCCTTTGAGCCAATAATTGATTAATTGTAAATTTGTTTATCCTTTCATTTTGATTACTATACCTCCCATGGGTTGTTCGATTATTTTGTATTGAAATATAATCGAAGGTTAACTAGCTAATTTCTATTTGATTATATTTCTGGTTATTACCGATCTACAATATACTATACTAAATATGTTTCTTGTTGGGACTTTAAATGTTACGTAAAAAATGAATCATTGTCACTGTATTATTTATGTGTTAATATGTTATATTTATTTGCATTGAAAATACAAAACATAAAATGTTTAATATGTTGTGGTTTTTTCCCTTTAATTATATTTAATAGTTATTATACCAATAATGATTATTTATTTATTTTTTATTATTTATAAAATCATAAAACCAAACAACAGTATGATTTGTTGAGTACTAGTAGGAGACAGAATAAGTTTTTGTAAATTTATTTGGAAAATATACAATACCAGTTTTGCAACAATTGTTTATATTTTAGATTCTGAGCGGAGCAAGGAAGCTAGTGGTTTTACAATGGTGTTTATTTTTTATATCCTGTATACAAAATTTCTACCAGAAGGAGTGCTTTGATTTCAACATATAGTACCTTATCTTTTAGCAAATTGGACCAAGATGGTACTTTAGAGAGGTCATTTTTCGATTTTCTCAATAGTTATTTAATGCCACGGGAAAAAGTACTGAAAAATTACGAAAAACCGCTTAAAATGGGATTTTAATTTCTAACAATTTGTTTATCACCGTAGCAACGAATAAAAAAAATAATAATTAAATAAATAAAATAATTAATGACAATATAAAATATACAGACTGTACAAACCGTCTCCGTTCAGAATCGTTTTTCCTATACAATGATATTATATCATTGAATTCAAGTTTAATACAATCCATTAAACAATGACCAACTTGTAACCTACTGTACAGCTGAGCGACATCCACTTACCTGCCTTTTTCATTTACTAAATTAATATTTTAATTTTACTGTAACTATTATAGATAGACTTAAGGTTGACAATATTATATAAAAGGAACTTTTGTATAACACAGGACTTACACAGTAACACTGGTCACTTATGCTTTATGATTATCTAATATGCCCCTAATATGCAATTGCCCCCCGTAACACCCCCTAAATAAGCCACTGACTGTACAGCAAAGCGACATCCACTTTCCCACCTATTTGTTATTTGCCCTTTAAATTGTGTAGCATCTCGTACTCTATTTTACCAGTCCGCACCTGGAGCATTATATTCAATTTTGACACTGTCTGGCCCAACAAATACAATTTTATTGATATTTATAAGAAAAAAAATAAAAAAAATTTGAAATTGGAAATTGATGACGATAAAATGTGTCAAAATTATTATATTCCGTGGTTAAACTATGCTAGACAGTGTTTACCGTGATTACCAAATAAATTAAGCCATTGTAGTGGTTTTGGTAAAAATTGCACGGCGAGATGTCAAAAGACGCTTAATAAAAAAAAAAATTATAATTGTATGCATAATATTATACTAATATACTCTCTTATTATTACTTCTTTAACTTTAATTATTATAAATTATAACAAAAATAATATGTTTTTCATAATAATATCATTTTAATAAGTTAACCATTATAAAATACTATTTATTTTGATCTAAGGCCTACTAGGCCTATACCACCATTGAACATCGATAACATTTATGATATTTGATCGATCTATGAGTTATCGAATTAAAACCCGATCTGTCGTTTATAGGTCGGGTAATTGATAGTTTACTGAACCAAAAACACTTAAGGGCGTTCAAGTAACACCCACTTTATTAGCGGTGTTATAACGGTTCGGTAAGTCGCTACAGGATGTTATGTATAATGCATTTTATAATTTAATTATTTGTATTTATTATTAATAATAAATTGTTTATTCATCTTACTGTGGTTTATGCAACCCGACTTATAAAATATAATATTATATTATAATCAGTGGCGCAAATACGAAAAATGTTAAAGGGGGTTCAAGCCCCAACACATTTTTTTAAAATTATAATTTATACGTACCTACATACTTTGAAGAATGGTATACTATTATTTTTGAGGAGGTTGTGAGTGATTTTGGGGTGATAATCCCCCCCTATTAGCTCCACTGACTATAATGATAATGATATACTTATTAATATTGCTTGTTATATACAATAACAATATTATTCATGAACTACTACACAGGACTGGACACTACAGAGAAAATCACGGACACAAAGTTGTACAGGGTTCGTACACATGCGATGTACCTGCACTCTGCCTGTTAGTAGTACGAACTACGTTTTTTATAGGATAACACTAAAGAATAGTGATATTAGTGATAATAACTGATAATAAATTTACTTTTTAATTTTTGAAAAACAATTATTAATAACACAGTTCAAGATAATAATGATACTATTTATAGAATATTATCAGAAAATAATTACTGCTTAAAGAGTGAACAGTTTAAGCATGAACTACTAAGGCGGTATTTTATATAACAAAATATTTCTTATCTCACAGATGGCGCTGTGTCGCATGTGTACCGAATATGTACAACTTTGTGGACGACCCCCTACTCTCCTCCTGCCAATAGTGTCCAGTCCTGTGTAGTAGTTCATGATATTATTATCTATGGTTATCACGTCCTTATCTGCCGCTTATTTGTCGATTTTTCCGCCGTCGCCGCAATCGATGGACGACTATAATAATCGATATCCGGAGCGACCAGACCGTACGCAGGCTGCACCGCCGCATACACAATCGTGAGCAATAACGAGCGCGCTTGGCTCCTATCAATCGTGTTTTGCCTCCGTCTGAATGTCCGATTGTCACTACTCACCGTTCGGCGGCATCAATACTCAGTCGTCGTAACGCGCGCATATTGCTCAGTTTGACGTTCGTACTTTCGTAGTGGCGTCGTTCGCTCAAGCAACAGGTCGGTTCGGCTGAAACAATTTCAGTCGCACGTACTCACCGCCGTACCGTCTCTCGCACACCCGTTTCCGGTCAGCGCTAACCGGTGGCCGGGTCGCCTCCGGCCGCAATGCACTTCGCACTAGCCACAACGCAGGGTGGTCGCCCAACGACGGTCACCACGGCCGCGATGTCTACCGACAGCCCGCGGACGTCGGCCGTCCCCGCACCCACCTCCTACTTGCCGCACGCCATGCCGTCCACATCCCAAATCGTCGGCGCCACCAGCGCAGACGCATCTACAGGCCCTAATGCCGACGACCACACCGCCGTTGGATCTCAGTTCACGATGGAAGATTACGATGACACGTCGTCGGAAGACGAATACCAAAAGTCCAGGTCCACGTTCACCATGGCTATGGGCCACTACTTTTTCGAGAGGAACTTGATCGTGAGTTTGGCAGTGACGCTTGAAGTTAGGTGGCTGTCGTTGTAGGGTTGGGGGGGAGTGGTGAGGTATCGTGGGTGGCGGGTTGTTGCTTTCCTTTATCGTATCTCTTTGTCACAGTGCTGGTGTACCTACCCACGACCTACCTGTACTATATTTATTGGCACCTACAATTTCCTTATAACAATCGGTTTGGTGCTTATAAAAAACATAATGCCCCCATTGGTGGCGTTACAATATGGGGCGAATCGGTTTTCGCCCAAAATCGACCTTTTGGTTTTTGCCCAAATGACCTTTTTTACCCAAACAGCAAAAAGAGTGATTTGGTTTTCGCCCAAAAAAATATTATTTATAGTAAACAAAAAAACATTTTGATTAACACTG